TTGCCACTAGGCCACTAGAGCGCCCCTAAAATTAGGGGTTTTTAAAAATTAAAACAAAATAGAAGACTTGTAAGGGACCCATGCAAATAAGGGGTGCTAAGAAGTTGTACTCAGAGTCCCTTGCTTGCATGGGTTCCTTCATAAGGCGCACTAAAGTCCTGCACAGGCATGAGGTTCAAATCCACCTACTCCTTAGCAGGAGAAGGATGGACAATCTGCTCCCAGGCGATTTACTGCCTCTGAAAAACCACTGGAGGGTCAACTGTGAGTTAGTTCTGACTCGATGGCACACACACAACAATAAGGAGTTGTACTGTGAACCCAAAAGTAAACAGTTCAAATCCATCAACTGCTCTGTGAGAGAAAGATGGGTAACCCTCTTTCCATGTGCTTCATAGCCTCTGAAAACTCACTGGAGGAGAGTCAATCATCAGTTCCAACTCATTAGCACATAACAAGAACAAAACATGATGGTGAATCTTCCTTTAATAAGAACATGATGTCTTTGGTAAGATGTAGAAGACAATTACAGAAGCTTCACTGTTCCTTAAGAAACAGGAAATTAAGAACCTACACCTTACTCAAGCAGTCACCTATGAGAGTCCATGTCTGACAAATGTAAGAACATGTACCAACAATTTATTGAATAGGGCACTAATCTTACCACTGACATAAAAATGAAGGCATCTGACTAAACACAGTCTGTAAGTTTAAAAAAAGAAGACGAAGTAAGGCTTAAACCACTTCTTTTGAGTTCTCTTTTGACTTTTGTTTAACATTTAATCCTTATAAAGACAAGTCAGTTTTAAAATAAGGGTAAGAAACCTATAAGTGAAAATTAATTCATTCACTGTCAGAGTCCCTTGGTCATCACTCATTTACTGGCACCAAAAGTGGGGGGACCCACAAATTATTTTCTTGTGATGGAAGGAGTGTAAAGTAGATGTCTATCCTACTGCCTAAAGCCTTACAATTTTAAAAGGGAAAAAAAAAAAGGAAAGAAATCCACTTCGCTATATGAGATGATTTGATTTTTCTCTGGAAAAGCGAAATTCAAGAAATCTGGGGCTGTAACACATAGATTTTTAGTATTGCTAGAAATAAATGATGCTCACCCATGTTACCAAAGGCATTGCCTTGGATTCATAGAGAAACTCATTAAATCGGTTAAGATGCATCAGTAAATAAGTCACGAAATGACTGACGTCACTAACTACTCACCCTCCTGCAGCAGCAGCATGAAGGCACGTTCTTCCAAATTTATCTGGGGTGTCTATTTCAAAGCCTGCAGACAGCACGCGCTCATTACTAAACAAGGACACTATGCTATACTTTTGTCCTAGTTAAACCACAAGAAACATTGCAGAGACAGAAAAATCAGTTAGTAGAAAAACCAGAATGCAAGCAACTGTAGTAAGAAAGAGGTTGTCATGGAAACGAATGGTAACTGCTCAAGCTTGGCGATTTTATAGGAAGAACGGTGAAGTCAAGAAGAATTTATTTTCACATTCAGCCCTGGGTGAACCACAGCCCCATTTTTCAATCACAGGATAGAAATTTATGAAACCAATTTGAGATAAGTGGGGCAAGAGACAGGCAGACAGAACAAACACATGGATAAACCATAGAAGGTAGAGGCATAATCACAACATGCTGGAAGAGATATTTTCTGAGCTATATGCTTCGCTTCTGGTTGGTATGAGATTTAGCAAACATGCTTTCATGCAGGGATTATTTTTAAACATGCCCAAAGCAGCAAATGCAGAATCAGCCACAGGTAAAGTATTTAAAGGAAAATAAATGCCTCTGGGACACACAATTAATTAATTCATAAACAATATTTGCCTGCAGATCTGTATCACCCTTGAAAGTCCAGGAACTTCTTAAATATAGAAATTGGCAGAAGTGGTGATAAGAGAGATTAGAAAAGCTCTAAGCCAGAATGTGTTTCTTGGTCCCAAACCACTCCACATGGGGGGCGGGGGGGGGGAGGTAATTAAATATAGATTTTTGAGATTTCACAGAGAGGGATGCTAACACAATATTTTCTATTATTAAAATGTAAAGAATCTGATATTTTTTTCCTTTTGTTGAAAAATATTAACTGTTGGGAGATATTAAATATGAAGGTACCATTTTAAATCTTGAAGTCTCTTCTTTCCATGACAAAATTCTAGATGCCCTTGCCTTTCTCCTACCCAGAAGAACCCAAACTTTAATTGGAAAAACGGAGAAGACATTTTAGAGAAAGAACACACCCTCTTCTCACTTACGCATGTTTAGGTTCCAAAGACCAGGTTGTTATGCAAAAATGGTATAGTGTGAAAATGGATGATTACATTAGATCATTAGATGGAGGGGGACTCTATCATTATGCAAGTGCCAAATGAAAGTATTACATAACTGTCAAACCCCTAAGAATTAGGACCCAGCCTCTCTGATACCAAACTGTAACAGCCAGAGTTAAGGTGTGGGTCACTGCCAGACACACATCATTCATGAGAAAATAAGTAGATGGTATCTCTTTTACTATTGTCATGAATGTAAATTATTAGATAACAAGGTCTCGTTGATAAGTGAGGAGAGGGTGCTGTGACATTCAAACAGCATCCACACCACAGATTGCTGGGACTGTCACACGTAGTTAGCTGTAGCACCTAACTTCTCCTGCGTGTAAGGACATAAAGCACAGGCAGCCACTCACTCTGAGCGAACACCTGAAGCCATGTGACTCAATGACAGGACACATCATCTGTAACAATGGCCTGACTTACCTGATGACAACAACTTTCGGCAGCAATCAGAATGAGCATTTAGGGCTGCTAAATGTAAGGGGAACATGCTATGGATTCCACACCTAGGGAGGGGGGGAAAAAAGATCAGTTCAAAACAACAGATCTCAAGACAAATGCAAAAGGAAAGATACCTCTCCACAGGTTCTCCGGTGAAAATAGAACCTAGGATGTTTCACTTAGGGACACTTTGCTAAGATAATTTTGCAATTCTATTCATTTCCTACCTTCAAACAACAAGAGTGTTGAATATACCATGGACTGCCAAGAGAACAAACAGGTTCATCCTAGAGAAAGTAAAACCAGGCTGCTCCTTGGAGGCAAGGATTCTGAGGCTTCCTCTGACATAATTTGGGCATAGTGTAAGGAGTGACCAGTCCTTGGAGATGGATATAATGCTTGGAAGGATGGAGGGACAATGCAAGAGAGGAAGACCCTTGATGAGATTGATTGATGACTGGAGTAGTAGGGGGTAGGTGTGTCAGAGACTATAAGGTTGGCAGAGTATACAGCAGCTTTCAGGGCTATTGTTTCAGGTCGCTATGAGTCACAAGCGACTCGACAGCACATAACAACAACAACATATCAAAACCAGAATTTAAAGAGCTTATAACAAAAGAAAAGAACATTTTTAAGAAAATTAATTTTCTAGAAATAGTAACTCTGAATTTCTCTCTTCTTTTCTTTATGCTTAGCAATTATATACCTCATTGATTTGTTCATCCGTTCACTTCCTAGGCCTCAGATCTTGTGCTAAATTCTGGAGATAAGAATGCTAAGAAAGATCAATGCTCAACTTTGAAAAGCAGACACTTTTTACTCCTAGAAAATATAAGCAAGTATGTACGATAGACCTATTATCTACTGAGGACCTTGCTGAGTTACTAATAACTGGGTTATCGAAAATAAAACTTGAGATGAAAATAAAAATGCATGTTTACCTTAAGCAAGTGAAACTTCATCTTTCTAATAGCTATTTATGCTGCATATTAACCTTCATTGAGCTACTAGTCACAAACACACAGTAAGGAGCAAGAGACACTATCTTCCATCAATTTCATAAACCTAGCATATATGCTTTGCCAACAGTACTGAAGAATCTCAGCGTATACTTTTTCAGACAGATCCTTTTCAATACACAGCCCTTAAAGGACAGGAAGGCTGCTGCTGACAGCTCTTTCTGCCCTCAGAATAAATCCGCTTTCCCCTTCTCTGCTCTCTCACACCCAAATACCTAAAGCCCACAAGAGCATCACTGAGTGACTTCCACCTGCTTCTAAAGCATCTCTAAGAGTGCCGGAGATTCCTCATGACAGCTCATTTCAGTCAAATAATGTAAACTCTCTACCAAACACAAGTAAGTCTGGGGCCGTACACGTTTGCACCCACAGCATTAACTATCCAAGTTTCTTCTCCAGCGGTGAGTTGACTGTTTCCAGATTCTCTGTCTCATAAACATTATACATGTGAATGCGTGAAACTATATACGAACTCACAGGTATTTTATGGTAACCAGTGCTTGACAGAACCAGAGTATGGACATAAGTGGGCACCACTCTCTTTCCTTGATAATTTCTATTTGGCTTTTTTCCTCCAGTCTCCTTGCTCTTCATTTTCCTTTCCCTATATGGAGATTTCCAACCCACTCTATATAATAGTTGGCATCCATCAAGACATGCAATTTGCCAGTCTTCGAGTAGTGTCATGTAGAGGAGAACTGCTTATAATTGCTTCTCTCATCATTTGGGGGGGAAAAGTCTAGGAAGCAATTGCTTCAATGATGACCTTGATAAGTGCATGACAAGGAGGAGGGAGCTGGGAATGAGAGTGGAGCCTCTTCCATTTATGCTTGTATTTATCCTGTTCTGTGCCATTTTTAAAATGTACATGATGGCTCAGAAGCTTTTTACTAAATGGAAATTGACACTAATAAGATTTTCCCTAGTTGCCTTATTTGTTTTAGAAAGCTAAGGCAAAAACCATATGACTAAAAATCTCTCAAGATTTAGAGGGAAATGGATGGAAGATTTTCTAGGATGATTCTTAATTCATTTGTCGGAAATGAAGGAAAGGCTTTCTTTCTATTTTTGTCATTACTTAAATACAGGCACATACATATTTGTAATAGGAACACACATCATATGTAATTAAGGTTGTTAATGGTTCACAAGAGCCAAAAAACTACCTTGAGGATATCCCATATGAATTTAGAGACCATCTCAAGAACAGATGTGACATCCTGAAAATGAATGACTAAAAACCAGGTGAGCTGAGGGATGACATCAGGACGTTACACAAGAAGGCAAAAGACCACTAAAATAAGACGGAAAAGGGAAAGAAAAGGTCAAAATGAATGCCAGAAGAGACTCTGAAACTTGAAATTACTTTTGAACATAAAATAATTAAAGCAAATGGAAGAAAGATAAAGTAAAAGAGGTGCACAGAAGATTTCAAAAGACAGCCAGAGAAGTCAGAGCTTTATAACGAAGGTATAAAGACTTGGAGTTAGAAGGAAGGATCAAGGGAAGTGGGAGGGATAGATACAGTCACTACACAAAAAGCAACTGGTCAATGTTTAACCATTTCAGGGAGAAGCATATGATGAAGAACTGATGGTAAAGAAGGGGGAAATCCAAGATGCACTCAAGTCATTGTGGAAAGACAGGGCTCCAGGAATTCAAAATCAACACCAATCTGAAGCATTGATTCGGAAGTGCTGACTTATTTATGCCAGGAAATTTGAAAGAAAGCTACTTGGCTAATTGATTTCAAGAGATCCATGCCTCTGGTAGGTTGGAATTAGCAAGAGTAGCAATATGTTGTTGTTATTGTTAGGAGCCAACGATCGGTGTATGACTCATAGTGACCCTATAAACAACACATCTGGACCCTGGCCTATCCTGTGCCATTGTCCCAATCTCTGACACAATTGGTAATAGTATGTACCACAGGAAATGAAAATCAACAAAAGTCTGAGCTCTTTTTTTTTCCTTCAGGGAGAACTAGTTTATTAACACTAGTCAACAGTAAGAATTCAAAACCAAACAAACTCTTAAAAGTAACCCTTCTACAGATTGTATTATTAAGTGTGAACGCTACATAAAAGAAGTAAAAGGAAAAAGACATACTGCCTTGGGCAAACCAGCTGCAATACCTGAGCTTGCATTTTCATTACCCTCCCTCATGCATGCAAAATTGAGACAATGAATAAGGAAGACTAAGAAGAACTTATGCCTTTGAATTATGTTTTCCGTAAATAATACTCAGTATATGACTAACTTTTGCCAGAGGAAAAAAAAAATACTAGTCTTGGAGAAAGTGCAAACAGAATGCTCTTTAGAAGCAAAATGGTGAGAGACTTCATTTCACAGATGCCAGATATGTTATCAGGCGGAACCAGTCCCCGTAGAAGAACTTCTTGCCTAGTGAAGTCAGAAAGAGAGGAGGATTTTCCCAGGAGACGGACTGATTCAGTGGCTGTAAAACTGGACTCAAGCAGCACTTCTCGTGAGAAAGGGACAGGACCAGGCAGGATTTCATTCTACTGTATGACAGTCACTATGATGTACAAGTGGCTTAATGGTAACAACACTTTTTAAAATATGTAGATTTTATGAAAATATATATATTTAAAATATATACTTTTCCTGTTTTGAAAAGATACACTGTTTTATAAAATATGTACACTTTATAAATTAATGCAAGTAAATGAGATTAAATAGTATTGAACTTTATAATAAAATTGGGAGAAAACAAAAAAGTGCTGGTATGAAAGCAACAGACCCATTAGAAACTTCATTATCAATATAATTAGCGTTGCCCCTTAAAATTCTCATCTTAGCTAATTCATCATACTTTCCATTAGCTATTTATTTGTGTTTGGACTATTTATAATCTTCAGAAAACAAAGGAGAGAGAGAATTCTATCATTTAAGAGGACTAGAAAAATTGTTCAAACTACAATTTTTATGACAAAAAGTGGACTCCTCAAGTGACATTAAGTTATAAGTACTACCAGCATCTAATTTGAATATGATTCTATAGTTCAGAAAGTAAACTTAAGGTTGAGATTGAAAAGAAGAGTCACAATGTCTGACTCATCTTAGAAACCATTCATGCATTTCAAAGTAAAACTGCTTCCTTGTTGTTATAAAATAGCATAGCTTATAAAGCACGGATCACAAAACTTTAGCAGGACAATTAGGATTTGACTGTCTTAGTCAAATAAGAAGTATCACTCTCACTTAGTCAGGAAGATCGAGGTAAAAAAGAGATCAAGTAATGTCCAACCAACAGTACATAAATTACAGGGGAAAGGAGACTAATTGCAGTTAAAAGCTTCATTTATTTCACCAATCATAACATTAATGGAACTCATTTGTATTAACTATTTCCAGTTTAGCTATTAGTTGGCACCTCCTACCCAGTTATTGCAGAATAAATGAGGTCTTAAAGACTGTCCATTGGAAGAGAGGAAAAACGTTTACACCATTAGAGTATCTGTCCTTGAAAGCAGCCTCCTTGCCATTGGAGAGACAAGACCTTCCTAATTCAGTAAATCTACCCCTTTTTGAGAGTTTGGCCTTAGACTGTACGGTAAAGGCTCTGTGGTTCAGATGATGGAATCTGGGGTCAGAACCTTCGGGTTTGAGACCTGGTTCTGCCACTTGCTAGGACTTTTCAAGTTACATAACTGCTCTCTCATCAAGAAAATAGAGAGAGTAATAGTGTCTGCTTCATAGAGCAATGGTAAAGATTAACTGAAATTATGCACATGAAGAGCTAACACTTCAGAGTGGTGCCTGGTAGGCCTTTATCATAAGTGTTAGCATTAGTGGTGTCTTTGCAATGCAATTATTATTAGCTTAGTTGGGTAACTGGCAGTCTGTGAGTTTTGAAGTTTTAAACAGGTTGTGCTTCCTGAGAATCAAATACATAATTTCTTAAAAGGCAAGAACGAACTATTGCCAAGTATTATTAAAGTTATCTTTCTAGATTTCAAAATCCTTTACAACAATTCTTTCACAACTCTTCTGGAGAGGTGAGATTGGTTTATTTTAATTTT